GCGCGTACTACTACTACTACTACTAATACTAATACTAATACTACTACTACTACTACTACTACTACTACTACTGCAACTACTGGCGCTGCCGGTGCCGCTGGCATGGCTGCTGCTGAATGGTAGTAGTATGTTTCTTTGACGAAGCTATCTTTGCTTCTGCAAACACCGTTGCGGTCCGGCCCACTACAATCATCACCCAATGCACCAACACCACGACAACCCAACAAAAAGAATTCTCGAGTATAGCTCATGCACAAATCATGCAAAGGGATCGTCAGTCGTGCAGCCCTTCTGTCCGAATTCCCACAAAGAAATCAGTCCCGAGCAAATGCCAACCACTTATAATTTCTGAGGAGACTTCATGCACCAGTTCGCAGCAGACAGTTCCAAAGCATTTCGACACCCACCACATTTAACTAAACCCAGCAGTGAAGCTTATACTATATCTTGAATTGGGCGCCCTCAGACAACCCCGAGACCCTGCACAGGGAGTGTTGCCTCAGGCTGGACTCACGGAGTCCTTGTCTCTCTTCGTTTCGGGTTTACGCATGACGTGTCAGGCATTACACACGCGGTGAGCATCTGATGTTTTCTGAGGTTTCAAGTCTCGGGCAAGACAGCTTGTGTCTCAGAACTCGGTCTTGGAGTAGGGACTCAACCAAAGAAGGGATCAGGGGTCTCCCAAAGCGCAAAGCTAAGCGACACAAGGCTCTGTACCGACACTTCCGAAGGCCAGCTGGAATCCGAGGCCTTCGCTTATGTAGCACGGAAGTGTGCCAGGAGCTGTTGGCAGACCATGCGGACCAGACGTGTATAGAGGAGCCCGTGCAGATGCAACAGATTGCTTTGCACATGAGGTGTTTCGGATTTGGAAGTCTTGTTATGCAACGGCCCAAGCCGAGCTCTGTTGTGCTTCGACAATGGATGAACCGGTTGCAGTGTTTTCGAGGCTAGGGCTAGGGGTGATACAGGAACATTTCGAGAATCGACCGACGAATCAGGCTTTTGCAGCAATCGTGCACGCTGCTCCCTAAGCAATCCAACAAGGATTGCAAGCCAGATCATTGTCGTGGTTTCAGTTGGCATTGTCTTTCACGGCCAGCTGCCAATGTGCTAAAGTTGTGCAGCGAATCCAGAAATTTCGGGTTTGAGATGAAGTCCTTGATGTTGTAACCGTACTGCAAAACTTGGTCGGACCAAAACGTGGTTTGGTCCATAAAAGTCTTCGAGGTCCAGCAGGTGACCGCTAGCTGTTTCGACGTCCCGGATTCTCCAGGAGTAGGTGCTGGATGCCGAACCGCCCGCACATGCTAGACGATTGTCTTTTCACAAGGAGCTTTGGGAGGGAGGAAGGCTTTGGAACACCTTCAATCAGCGTCACCGTTCTGAATTAGAATGCGCATCGGTGTTTTGGTGTTTGATATTGAAATGTCCTAATTACAGGTTAATCTTCTGCGCGGGCAGTAGTAGCATCCTTCTACGCCCAAGAGCGTGCGACCACCATCAAGCCCTTCTAGAAGCTCCCACAGAAGGGGAAGGTGAGGTCGGTTGGGTCTCGAGATCTTGCGGCTGGTTCTGGGGTGCACTCCGGGGGAAGGCCAAGACAAGGCATCGTAAGATGCTGGGTTGGAGATTTAGTAGTGAGGCGAGGACTGGGCGCTGCAAGCGCGCGAGGGATCAGCAGCTGCTGGCCTGCGCAATCAAACAGAAAATGCTTGACTGACCTGAGCCGGCCCAATCTGCATTGGAGGGTGTACTGTAGCGTGGCTTTGCTAGTAGCGATGTTCTGAGCAAAAAGGTGTGAAGGGCTTGTGTCTTTAGCTATGGACCAACCCAAATTGCAGCCGGTGGCGTTCATAAGAAGCATTGACACCAAACCCTCACTGTTTTCCACCCAGGTGTGCAGGAGTTCGACAAGATGGGATTCTCGCACATCCCGGTCACATTGCGTTGACATTAGGATGTTAATGTCCCTGCAGTCCTTTTGTTGCAGAGCAGTGGTCATTCGTTGTTTTCTTTTGGCCGAGGTTGCGATCAGCTCATAGTGAAGAGCCAGGGTGCAGGATCACAGGGGCTCCCGCTTTCGTTGCTCGGGTCCTTACCTGTCGTAGATTATTCGGTGTCGCGAACCGAAAGAGGTGTCACCGAAAAAAAGATTCACTCCGCCTGGCCGAACATCCCAGGTGACCAGCGTGTTTACAGCCGCTATTCTGTCTGGGCGCCGCGGCTGTTCAGAGAGATCTTTGGGGTTCCTATAAGATAAGGAGTTGAGGCGAGCCACCGATGCTGTCATTCCCGCATACCTACATTTATATCTGCGATATCCATGCATGCATGTGTATACAGACGTATAAATATGTGTAAACCGTCTTGAGCTTCCGATGCATAGATTGAGCATTCGACGAATTCACCTCACACAAATCCGGGCACCTTGAATGCACTTAGGCTTCGCCAACCAGCCTCACACCACACCCTAGCCCTAGACCCAACCCTTGAGCACCAGCATGTGAGCTACGACAAAAGCTGTGGGCTCGGATTGTATCATGAAAGAGGTCTCAGGATCAGGGCCTCTGCATGTGAGCTCTGCTCCGAAGTTCCCACAGAAAAAACTTTGGATCGAAGAGACGAAGACCGGAACACAGTAGCTTTGCAACTGTTGGCTTTCTGAATCGTCAGGCGGAGTGCTCGAAGCCTTAGTGCGAGAGTGACAAGATTTGGCGGGCATGTGGCAACAATGCTTCTGCTACTGATGCCGATATGGAGCTGATACTGATGCTGGCTGTTGCTGCTGCTGTTGACGACACATTTAGAAACGTTTATGGCAATATGTTTGAACGAGTAACTTCATGAACAGTCAGCCGCAAAGCTCAAAGAAGAGTTGTTGAAAGCTGCGGATACCCTGTGAGGGCCTACAGGTTCGAGTAGAAGTTGATTACACACCGAACCCTGAAGAACTATGCGGCCTGCCGGTTCCCCGGTGCGGCCTGAACCCAACCTTATCGGGACGTCATTTGCCAGGAATCCTTTCATGGACGTCCCCGGCAAGGCTTTAATCAACACCTTCCTCCGCCAGGCAGTTTTCCTTTTCTTTGACATGCAGACCTTGGGGGTAGCGGGGTTGGAGATGTGCCGAGGGTTTCCTGTCGTTAGTTGGGCTGTTTGTCTAACCGGCCTTGTCTATGAGATGTAGCCAGAAGATCGGCATGTATTTGCCCACGACTTTAACCAACGAGCTGAACAGGAGGTGCATCTTGTAAAGTCTGCTCTCTGAGCCTTTGAGTTTCGGCAGACCTGTGGTGTGAATGGAGACAGCCGTGCTGCTTGTGGAGCTGACATGCCGTCCAGACATCTCTGGAGCATGATGCTTCATAGATGAAGCCGGAGCACATGAGAATACACGAGACTTTAACTTCCCAGCAGAGTCAGCGAGGCCATGTGGAAGTACGGACGACGGTATGCCTTCACCTTCAACGTTTATCCGCTCCTCGGTCATAAATCAGTATTTCGAAACCCAAGTCCTAAACATGCAGAAGGACACGGTGGGGCCTCGACGAGTTCGCATCAAGAGGGGATCTTCCTGGCCTCAGCAATCGCACAATGGCCTCTACGTTGCTCCGAAATCCTTGAAACCCCACGCTTGAAATCTTGGAGCAGAGGCTCCCCCAGATCAAGATGTGCAATGTAAGTGGTTTCGGGTCTAGGGGTTGGGGCTTTGCAGTTGTCGAAGATCTTCGCATGTGCTTGTGTGGATTTATGGTCGCTTGTCGGCATCACGCAGGTGTTAGCCGTCTGTAAGTTTCCGTGCTCAGGTACTTTGATCCCAACCTGCACATGAATCCTGGTAGCCGAGACGACTGCAGTGAAGCGCTGAAAAGAGCCACCTGCTGGCAAGGACGGGAGAAATTTGGGGAAGGTGCCATCTCCACCCAAACCTGGATCCTTACATGACGTGGATCCCCGCTTGAACAAGCAACCATTGTGGACGAGAAGCGGGCAGGACAGAAGCCCGGCTGCTGCTCGAAAATCTCACAGCTCAGCCAACGGGCCTTGCACTCGAACATGTGGTGCTGCAACGCTCAGTATTCGTGTTTTCCAGCAAGAAACTGTCCAAGATTGTTCTAGTTATCGCACTACCTGAAGACTGCAGGCATCCTGTCCGAGGGCGGGGGCAGGGGTGGCGGGGTGACTCCAAAGGATACTTGATCACTGGGGCAAGTGGACGACCGAAGCTACGATTAGTCAACACATGAATGCATGCTTCTGATGCATCGTGCTCGAGTTTGCGACGGCAGCGCATTGTTGACACCAGAACCCTCAGGCCGAAACATGGGGACCTTAAATCTGGAACCCAGGCTTGGGACCTATCGACCCAACAGCCTGTACCCTAATCTCTGAGCACGACAGTGCCTTTCAAGCCCGACTGACAGGCTGTCTAGCAGTGCTTCTGCTTGAGCTGCCACTACGATGCCAGCGACAACTCAGACTAGAACCACGAGGGATAATAGTTGCCCGCCAGGAGCTACATGCCTCGGTCCTGCGATCATGTGACTTAGTTGCAAAGATTCGGCTGCAACTGGAGCCCAGAGGCAGCGACTTGTTGCCAGTTGACTCAGGATTGCAGCACGGCGCAAAATGCAGCAGCTGACTGGGAATCCGGATGACCTTTTCTGGAGACCATGCTGCGAATTCTGGGGCTTTGGGCTGCGGATTTGTACACATTAAGTCTTATGTTCAGTTTGGGTTGACGTGGTTTGTTTATCTGTTCTTTTGGCGATTGCATGCTTCAATGGCTCTAAACCCTGAAACTTCCACAAATTCGCGGATTATGTAGCTCGGCACGCTGTGGGTCCGACAAGGCCCCGGATATCACCGGACCAACGAGATCGAGTAAGGGGTCTGAATATCAACACCAGGTCTTCAGACGTGAGAAGCCCCCTTTGATCGTTGAGAAGTGCATTGCTACACGAGGGTGCCACACTGGTGCCTCAACTGATGACAGCAAGCTGCTGAGGCCCTCCTGTAAAATTACTTCTGCCAAATGGAGGGCCGACAAGTAAGGTTGTTAAAGAAGTTGCAATGCAATTCAAAAATAATCTTAAGAAACTATGCTGAGCTGCAATGCGAGCCGCACTGTGAACCCCTTTACTTTCGCTGCGTGAGAGTCCCCTACCATATCGGGGAGTGAGGACGACGTTGAGCTGCTCAGGATTGGCGAGATCGGTTGGTCATCCCCTCGCGCACAGGCGCTTCACACAGAGATGAAGCGCTGCCAGGAGACCCTCGAGTGCATGTGGATTAGTTAATGTTAAGCCACAGATTGGGATTCGAGGTCAATAGGATTTGGAGTACTTCGTGGCAGCGAGGTGTCACGTCTAAGCGAACTTGTGCACGATTTGCAACGAGCCTTCATTGTTCGGAAATCTCTGTGGCCTAGATGTTCCTTGCACTGAGTGATCTGGATTTTTTGTGGCTTCGAGGGGGCCAAAGTAAGGTTTGGCCAAGGGTCGTTTTTGGCCCGGAGGCCGCTTCAAGGCAGAAAGAGGGAAAGAAAGACAGAGAGAGAACAACAGCAAGAAAAACGAAAGAGATAATAAACAAAGCAAGAAGCCAAGAAAGCCAGACATGAATCAAGACGCAAGGAAGAAATCCAGAAAGAAGAAAGATAACTTATAGAGAAGAAAGAAAGACAGACCGACATTAAAAAAGCACGAAATAAACCGACGAAGAGAGAAAGAGAGAAAGGAATAACTACAAAACAGAGAAGCAAATAGAGAAGGGAGGAAAGATAGCAAGAAAGAAAGACACACAGAAAACAAGAC